TGTGTCTGAGTGTCATGTGAGCACAGTAGCTACAGAGGTCAAAAGAGGGCGTCAGGTCCCCTGGAGCTGGACTTGCAGCCTGATGTGGGTGCTGGAAACCAAACTTGGGTCCTCTGTAAGGGCAGCAAGTACTGTTAACCACCGAGCCATCTCTCCAGCCCCCCCAGATGTATTCTTGACATTGGAATCAGACAGCATACCACATAGCATCTTACAGCTTGGGGAATCTTCCTCAGCCCTCAAGTAAATGATTAAAATGATGATACAAAAATGTGCAGAATTTATTTTCTTTGATAGCGCGTAAGGGAGATGTGACCTTTCCACAGCTGAGTGGAGGCTTCTTTTAGGAAGGTATCTTTTTTGGGGAGGGGGTCTTTTTAGGCAGGGTCTCCATGTAGCCCACACTTGTACACACACACACACACACACACACACACACACACACACAGAGTTTAATAAATAAAATTGAAAACTGTCAAGTTCCTAGCGAGAAAAAGAGAAACAAACACACAAACGCGTAGAACCCTTTACCCTGTTCTGTGGTCAGGAGTTGGTTTGGTTCTTTCCTTGTTCCCTCAGCAGTTACTTAACACTGGTACAGAGGGCCTGACAGCCATTGGCACAGCCAGTACCCTAAATATAGAGGGTGCTTACCACATACGTATGAGACCCCAGATCCTCAGAATTGGGACATCTGTTCATCTGTATATATCTTGAAGCATTCATCTGCTTTCCCTCTCTAAATGAAGCAGGACTCATGGCTCCCCGCACCTTGTGACTCTAGAATTACAGTTCTTTTTCCGGTCATAGGAAGTTTTTCATTAATGAATGTGATTTTATATTCTTACTAAAAGCTTCAGAGTGCTGGTATTATAGTCTGACTTTCTTTTTTTTTTTTGGTCTTTTTGAAACAGGGTCTCCCTGTAGCCCCAGCTGTTCTGGAACTCACTATCTAGACCAGGCTGGCCTTGAATTCACAGAGATCCGCCTGCCTCTGCCTCCTGAGTGCTGGGATTAAAGGCGTGCACATTTTTAAATTTAGTTTATATACTTAATGTTATGGTAAATATTTTGAAACAGACTATGGCAAGTATGTTTTAAAAAAACAAATTTTTATGTTTGTTTGTTTTTATGACTGTCTCACCTATCTGGTCCATTTGTTAACCTTTCTTCTAATATTTTGCGTTTATTCTTCTCAATTTCTAGTTATCTCCAAATAATATTTTAGTAATACAGATTTTTTTTTAATTTTTTTATTTTACATGAATGCATGTATTGCCTACATGTGTGTAAGTGCACCTGTGTCATGGAGTACCCACAGCGATCAGAAAACGGCATCAGCTCCCCTGGAACTGGAGTTACAGACAGTTTTAGTTTTAACTTTTACTACATGGAAAAGTGACGCCATGGTAACTGTGCAGCCAAATAAAATTTCACGTAGTGAACTCACCCGTGTTCCTAGCACTCTACATAGCGTCTTGGGTCCTCTGTAGGTGCAGTGATGTCATCTGTGATTGTAGGCAGTTGTAGTTCTTAATTTGTTACATAGGTCGCACCAAGTTATAGTGAAGGAGAGGATCCCCCATAAAGATTGACTGGAAGGGGTGAATGGAAAGAGAAGTCTGGAGCTAGAGATGTGGTTCGGGGTGGAGTGCTTGCTCAGTTGTAGTGAGGGTCTGGGTTCAGTGTGTGGACTGAACAATACAGCACATACAGATACTGATTTTTAGGGAAAAAGGCTAGGACTCTGATTCCTGACCTCAGAGGGAAAGTTTTTAATATTGGCCTTTGATTGGTATGGTTGATCATAGATTAAAGAACTGGTGTAGAGTAGAAAGTTCCCTTTGATTTTTCATTTCTTAGGAGGTGTTTTTTAAATTAAGAGTGAATGTTAAATTTTCATTAATTCAGGAAAAGCACTGGATGGTGTGATCATGCAAATTTTTTCTCCTTTTGGCTATTAATAGGATGGTTCTGCTCATTCTTCATTCATTCAGTGAAGCAGTCTCACTCTGGAGCCCAGCTGGCCTTGAATTCACGGCAGTCCTCCTGCCTCAGCTTCCCAAGAGTTGGGGTTGCAGGCACGAGCCGCCATGTCCTGCTAGTCAGGTGGTCTTTGTGGCGATATCTAAGGACACTAACTTGACTTGATAGGCCTTAACACAAATGACAGAATGCATGAATTCCAGTGTGACAGGCTATGGGAGGGTGCCAGTGGGGAAGGAGGTATAAAAATAATTAAGATGTTCTGTATGAAATACACAAAAATGGAATAAAACATTTACCAAAATTAAAAAAAGAGAATATGCATACTCCTGAAATAGTTTCTATTTGCATCTATATTATTCTCCTTGGGGAGCTTTGCCAATGAACCTGTAAGATCAACTTTGGTGAAGAGGAATATCTTTGTCCAATTCACCTGAATTATCCAAGAAGCAGGAACAAAGCTATATTGTGAGATGTTCAAAAGAAATGTTGAGCATTGCCAAGAGGCGTGTTGTGGGCCTAGAAGCATCACCTAAGCTTAGATGTAATATACAAAATTCAGAAACATTGACCTAGTAGTATGTGCAGTTCTCCATGCATTCAATTGTCCCAGGAATTCAGCATACATTACAATGATAATAAATATATGAAGCTTTTTAATGCTAAATCTAACAATGGCCATAAACAAATGACTATATTAGTTTCCTGTTGTTCATGAAGCAAACAGTCACAGAGTCAGTAGCTTCAGTAACATAAAAATAGCATCTCTTTCTCCTTAAAAGTCCACAGCATGCAATTCCAAAAAGTTCAATAAAAAAGTAAAGAAGGGGCTGGAGAGATGGCTCAGCAGTTAAGAACACTGGCTGTTCTTGCAGAAGATCCGGATTTGAATCCCAGCACCCACATGGCAGCTAACAAATGTCCATAACTGCAGTTCCAGGGGATCCGACAGCTTCTTCTCTCTTCCATGGGCATTGCACGACACAGGTGCACTTACCTACATGCGGGCAATACACACGTACACATAAAAATAATAAAATACTAAAAAAAAGAATTTGATGATTTCATTTAAATTTCCAACTATATTGACTTAAATCAGTCTAATACTTTATATGTAATAGCTCTAATATCTGTAATTTTGTTAAACTTTTTTTTTTTTGATCTTTTTGAAACAGGGTGTCCCTATAGCCCCAGCTCACCTGGAACTCATTATGTAGACCAGGCTGGCCTTGAACTCACAGAGATCTGCCTGCCTCT